TGGGCGGCATGGTCGCGATCGCGTCGTCCGCAGGTGTGATATGGGACGACGGAGAATGCGGACTTAAGCGCTAAAGTCCGTTCGAGATATATGATGGAATCTCACGCCTTGGTGGTCGCCTAAGCTGCGAAACTAGGGTGTTGACTGGTCCAGACTCGTGTCGTGCAGAAGTTGGTGGTCGCTAGTATGCGCTTTGCAGAGGAGAGTGTAGCGAAAGGTCGTAAGGTGTGCGATTCTGCGATTGCGGCCCGGTGCGGTCTTAAATCTTCCGGAGCTGAGCTATCTCCATGCGCCAAGTGCTATGACTCTGAGGCGTGGACTTGAAATGGCGATACTGCCCTGGTGTTGACTTGTATGCGACTTGCTTCCGCCCTTCCCACCAGTGAATGTCGTCCAATACGGCACACTTTCCGCTCTTCTTCTCCCGATACTGCCTCTTGTATTGCGCAGACGTACGCTTCAATCGATGCGTAGGGAATCCGTCGTTGGGTGGTTCGTCTAGATTCGGCTTACGCAGCGCTTCTTATGAGGGGAAGGTGCAGCTCATGCAATGGGCAGTCGACCTCGCGGTGAGAGGAATGTGGTCTAGCGGTATATCGAAGGCTTGTTGACACCTGCTAGCCTCTGTCAGCAGCTGCACATTCACAGAGCCATGCGCCGATTCGTACTTACTCTCAAACAGGCTTGCACGCACCGCCAGCTTTCCGTCTAACGCGCCCGCCTCACGATAGCGACCTCTGATAGTGGAGGCTCCTCAATTAGGCCTTTGGTGATGTGCGCTAGCTTTGGCGACTCGGATAACCCAAGATAAAGAGATCGGAAGAGGTTGTTGTGGTGTTGCAGTCAAAGGCTGGTACAGCCATGGGCAGAATTAGGCGGCCTTTAACTCCGACCACCCTCATCCGTCGCCGCCAAGATGTCCTGCGACATGCGACTCTTCATCATGTCGCCATCACGCATATCCATGTGACTGACTGTACAAATTCGGTCAGCTCCCTCAGTGGCGACCTCATCTCTACCACTACCGCAATCCTGCGTCCACATGGCCCCTTCATCGCACACAGCTCTTTCCACATGTCAGGCTTGCTCGTGATCGCGCTTGCCCCAGGCGGGGTCGAACTAGCCCACGCTCAAGCCACCTGCTCGCTGGCGGCAACTCAGGCCCGCTACTTCGCACCGCGACAAGCTTTTGACAAGTCTGGAGCCTGTTCATAGTTTGCTGTATCACACAACACTGTGCATACGGTAATTTGGGGCGGAAAACTTTCCGAACGAAACTTTGTTGAAAGAGAAACAGATCTATCTAACGAAATACACAATCTAGGTCCGAACGCAAATATCGATTTCTTCGCAATCACTTCATACAAGGAAAAAACCGAACTGGTCTGCAGGCAACATTAAGCTAAAACCTTGCAAAGTAGGTGATCTAACGTCAATGTAGGCTCCAGGCTGTTCAGCTTTTTCCTAGGTTGGCGTGCAATCATCATTATCATCAAATTCGCCATATCGTCTGATCCATCAGGCTCCGTTGCTTGGCCCCGCGCTATTGCCATCACCGTTCGCAGACGCTTGAGGCTCTGCAGCCGCCGTCCAAGGCACCATCTTCTCGGCCTTCGCGTCCCATTTATGCACGCCTCCCGTGCCAACATTATACTGGTAGTAATTCTCCGTACCGCCCTTGATCATCGCCTTCCGGAAAGTGATATTGATCCTTCCCTTACCCGCCTCAGGGCCTGCGCGCTTAGGAATACTATGTAGCCAGTTCGCCTGCGTCTTGCCACGCATCAAGACCATGTCTCCCGAGCCGAGAGGCAGCTTGATGCCCTTTGGCTCCTCAATCACAACGCCTGCCTTGGGTGGAATAGGCTTGTGCTTCATCAAGAAGTCGCGCTTTGCACCGAGACTGAACGATGCGATTGCTGGATTAGGACCGAGGAACCTCTCATCGTCGGAGTGGTACGATATGCTGTCCTTGCCATCGGCGTAGTAATTGACAAGGCAAAAGTTGAAGGTCTCGCCAGTGGTGCTCTCTGTCACCTTCTTCAGTTCCTCCAGACACTGTGGGATAGGACGAGGTGCGCACTTGTAGCGGCTTTTCTCAATCGGCTTTCCAGTCTTTGCATCTACGATGCTGCCATCAGCTGCAAAGCGCGATGTGTCGTCAACACCAAAGACGGTTGTGAACCGCGGCGTGTTGATCTGAGTTTGTGCTCCTCCGCGGGTGATGTTGTACTGCACACGGTAGAAGGGAAGTTCCCCTCGAAGGAACTCGAAAAGCCCTGGCGCAATACCGGAAGGTACGTATGGCTGATAGTATACAAGATCCAGATCCAGCTGGTCGTTCATGAGCTTGCCCTCCTCAGCAGGTGCGAATCCCAACTGCTCCGTGAACGGGGCAGGCAGATGTGGGATAGCGAAGGGGTAAGACGCATGGCTTGACTTATGAAGACTTGCTTCATATCTGGGCTTCTTGGGCTCAGGGCGCTTGAAGAACGAGTCAATGGCACCTCGCTTCAGCGACATGGTCCTTGAAGCTGTGTTGGTCCACACCTGTCCGAGCCTTCCACCAACTATCACGGGCTGGAGGACCTTCAATGTCACTATCTGGAAGTAGTACAGCTCAGTTTGCCGACCACTAGCGCCTTCTGATGGGGAAGGAGGAAGTATCAGGCTCGGAACGAAGTAGCCTACAATGGTATTGCTAGCAGGTTGCTGTTCCACCTTTCTGCACCTGGTCTCAATCAAAGTCTTGCAGAGGCGACGAAAGATGGGATCCTCGAACGCTATATCGTAGATTCTTCCACAGATGCGATCCAACTGCGTTACGTAGGTAACAAAGGCGTTCCAGAGAACCTTTGCACCGTCTGAGGCTGGCACGCCTTGTCTTGGAGAATAAATCGGAGGCGGGCTTGCGTCCCTAGCTCCAGGACCCGATTCAAGTCCAAATGAAGCCAAGCGTTGGGTCAATTCTGCAAGGCCGAGGCGCTCAGCGTGAAGTGCGTGAAGCGCGCGGAGCCTGTGAATTTGTTGGGCTCTCTCCGAAACTTGAGAGTGAGGAATGGAGCGACGCGACTGTTGTACGCGACGATTGTGAATTTGTTGGGCTCTTGCCGAGACTTGAGAACGAGAAACAGAGCGACGGGGTCTACCGGGAGCAGAATTGAAGGATGCAGAACGTGTAGTGACCAATTGTCGCGACGCGTCTCTGCGCTGATACTATTCAACAAGTCGATGACGTATGTGATTGGTCTGCACAGACGTCGACGTGATTGGCTGACGGCTGGTAGCGGTGCGCGATTCTGTCAACCTCGGAAAGACCGCACCACATCATCCCTTTTCGTCGAATCTTTGCCGTTCCAGCATTCGTCTCGATCTTGCGCACCAGCGCGCAGACATCTGTTGTGTCGCGCGATTTATATGCGATGTTCTCCTATGCGCGTTCCCGAGGGCGCGCGCGATGTGACACGAAATGAAGCCCACACGCGTTCACGCTCGGGGGTAGCGAACATCATGACGACGCGACCCGCCAGCAGATCTCGCGACTCTCAACAGAGTAAAATAGCCGCGCAATGGCATCCGCAGAACGGAATAATTGCTAGCTCATCACAAGAGCTATGTGTACGTTCTCAAGATTCCCGGGCAATGCGAGGACGAGTCCATAGGCCACCAAAGCATTCCAAAGAGCCGGTAAACGCGGCTCTTAGTCATCACAACAACAATTTAGTCAATGTTTACCCTACTTTGATTCACTAAATCGCATGTTCGACGCGGTACCACACAGCTGAAGTCGATGCCTTGAAGCCTGAGGATCCGTGACCCACCGGAGTTAGCGTATTGTGCCTGAATGGTATCGCGGGGTAGTAATCATCTCAGCAACGCTTCCTCCAAGTACCTCTTCTGCCTGATACATAACAGCCCTTACTAGCCAAAGCTTTTGAGAGAACAGCAATGGCTTCGAAGGATGCCAGTCTAGCGGTGTTGATAGACGGTGACAACGTCTCACCCAGGGTCATTGTCGGCTTGATGGCTGAGATAGCCAACTACGGCACGGCCAGTGTAAAGCGAATCTATGGCGACTGGACTTCTCCCTCGCTCAAAGGATGGAAAGAGTGCTTACTCAATCACTCAATAACACCCATCCAGCAATTTGCGTACACCACGGGCAAGAACGCAACTGATGGCGCCATGATTATCGACGCAATGGATCTGCTATACACTGGCCGCTTCTCCAGCTTCTGTATCGTCTCGAGCGACAGCGACTTCACCCGGCTCGCATCCCGCATCCGGGAGCAGGGCGTCACCGTTTTCGGGTTTGGCGAACGCAAGACAAACAACGCGTTCATTGCCGCTTGCGACAAGTTTACCTACTTCGATGTACTCAATATCCCACCCGAAGAGACGACACTTGCGGACCGCCCATTCGGCTTCGTCGATTCCCACCCTGTCGTCAACACAACTCCCAGGCTGGGCAAAAGGCCTCTTGATCAGTCAGCAGTCGAGGGCTTGTCCAGGGCCGTGAATAGTTGCAGGAGCGACATTGACAATTGGGTTCATCTAGCCGACGTCGGCGTCTACCTCAGCAAGATCTCGCCCGACCTCAACGCACGCAACTACGGTTACGAACGCCTGCGTGATTTCGTGGAGGCCTCTGGAATTGTGGACGTCAAGAAGAGAGATATGGGTGACCACCCTCCCGTTGTTCTGGTCCGTCTCAGAGAGCATCGGGACCGAGTGTAGTCAGTGGGCGCAGCGGCCTTACAGGTGCCACAATGGGATGTTCAGCAATCGAAGAGATTTCTTAACTTCAGGATCATTTCATAACGCACAGGTCGCATCACATCAGAAGTCGTACAGGGAAGAATGCGAACTGGAATACCTTGGATGTACCCGACACTTCGACGTTGCTTCCACAGAAGCAAGTTTATCCGATATACTCCGAACCGTGAACTATCCATCCATCCGTCTACTTTATCTTAATGACAGATACCTGTTTCTATTGTTTACTTCTTCTCCTTCTTCCTCCCTTTAGGTGGGTTCATGAAATCCTGGAATTCTTTATCTTTTTCGTTCGCCTTCATGTTTTCCTTCATCTCTCTCTCCACCTTAGCTTCTTGCCTCCACTTTCGCTCGCATGCTGTACAGCCAGCCTGGTTCTTCAGATGGGCCTCGCCTACGCAGCCGTTGCGACACGGCATCTGATGCTTTTTGCAGTACTTGCCCCCACCTGGTAGGTCACCTTCTCGGCAGTTTTCGGGGCTCTCGTCGCCGACCCAGCCTGACGCGCCCGGGCAGTGATGTTTAGTCCCCTTGGTGACCTTCGTACGAATCTGACCCTTAGTACCGTGGAACCCCATGTTTATAGTGTTATGGAAATATTTGGTTGTGTTCTGTGGTTGCTGGGTTATGATATTACTGTCGGGTTGCTTATTGGGGTCGCAAATGTCGAGCTGCCCTCGCAGAGCATTATATATGCAGAATTGACGAGATTCATTGCGAAAATATGAGACTTGACTTTGGAAGATTGAATCACATTGAGCGTTCACACCGTGCGCGCAGTGACAGTTCCGAAGGAAACGACGCTGTGCACCGACAAAGCTTGGCATTGAGCAAACAAAGAGCCAGGGCACAACGCGCCCCAGCACCTTTAAAAGATTCTTTTACCTATCGCAACGTCTTTCCTCATCCAACAGACATATCATGTCACCTCGTTCCCCCGACACCGCCGCTTCGCCGGCACTCGTTTCGGATGCGCCGCACGGTGCTAGTGGCCCTGCCGAAGAGACTTGCATGCAACACCAAGACAAATCAGAGGATACCGACGATGAGCAACAGGAAGAGCTACTAGACGATGCAGTCTCGGAATCGAACACGGTTACTTATGGTCAGGAACCATTCGAGACAATTCAGCACAAAGTCCCCGCACTGGCCGCGAAACTATTCCGGCGAAGCCCAAAGGATGTCACAGTCCATGAAATGAAGGGTGGCTCTTTCAACCGAGTTATCGGAATCTCGTTTCCACAGAAGCCCAAGAAGTTTAGCTTGGCCTGGTTTCTGTTCCCTTGCCTGAGCACGCGCAAGAAGAAGTCCGCACAACTGGAGTCGTACATCTTCCGTATCCCGCGGTGTAGTTACGAAGAGGATGACGGCTTTGCTGCGCGCATGGGCGACTCTATGAAAGGAGAAGTATCAATCCTGAAGGTAGCTGGCTCTCGGGTGCCTCTGCCCATCCCCAAGGTCGCAAGTTATGATCTCACGACTGCGAACATATTCGAACGGCCATACATGGTCCAGGGTCGCCTCCCGGGTCGCACCCTGGCGACGGACCTTGCGAATAACCTGAACATAGAGCAAATGAAGTGCCTCACGAAACAGATTACCGCTCTTGCTCCCACCATTGCTTTAGTGGAAGGTCCGGCGGGCGATATATCTGCTCAGAACCTCAACAAGCCTCCAAACTCTCCAATCTGCACCGAGAAGTTCTTTATACCGTCTCGTAATGAGCAGAAGAAGCCCGAGCCGGCTTCGACTTATAAGCCCATCGACTACCTTCTTGAGCGATGCGCGCAGTGGCGTGCATTTTACGAGGAAGAGGGCGTTTGTTTCGATGACGTCTGGGTGAGCTTCGAGAGGATCTCTAAAGCACTTGAAACCCGGGGCTTTCTGAGTGGGCCATGTGTACTGGTTCATGGCGATCTCAAGCCTTACAACCTCCTGGCTGAAGTACGCAGTGATACCGAGGCGGTGATCACCGGCGTTATCGACTGGGACTCAGCAATCATTGCCCCCGAGTTCATGGCTTATAGAGCTCCATTCTGGCTCTGGGCCCCCGAGGATATGTCTGGCGATGAGTCGGATGACGAAAGCGTGGCAAACGTGGAGGTCACCACTGATCTGGACAAGATCTTGAAGCAAGTGTTTCTCGACAATGCGTCGGAGAAGTATAAGCTGTATGCCTTCTCACCAGAGGCGATGCTGGCTAGACGCATGTTCGATATACTGAAGACGGGAATATTAGGGGGTACCCATCGCCTGGAAGAAGCGAAAAGCGTCATCAAAGAGTGGACTAAACTCCACCCCGAGGATGATGTTCGGTTCCGTGATCCCTACGAGTCCGACTCTGAACCTGAATCTGATGATGAGCCTGCAAAGGAAGCAGAGCAAGACGAGATTATGTCTGACTCTGACTCTGACTCTGATGAAGAGCCTGCAAAGAATGCAGGAGAAGATGAATCTGTTATTGCGGAGTAGAAGTAACATGTTTTCGAGATGCGAAGGGACCGTCAACACTTAATCAATTAATCCGCTCCTTGCATTTAAATGCTTGAAGATCGTCTTCCCACTGGTATACCATGTGAAACCCTTGTTGCATTGAACTATATGTACATCATCCGTTCATGATTGCCTCAAGAGCTACAGGAGCATCACACCCCTGAGATTTTAATTCTATACGGTTCATGTTGACATCCACACGGTATTGAGCAAATTGTACTCAACCGTAATTACAGTACCATATCGAAGCTATCAATGGTACGGATTATAAGACCACGCTGCGTTAAACGTGTTAGCAATCTCCTTATAAGCTGTATCAATTACACAGCGTAGTACTGAACCACCCTCATTAACATAGTAAAAGAACATTGTGCACCTACAATGGTCATTGTGTATCCGCGGTTACTACGACTCATTTCACGATGTACCATTTCCTTCACAGTCGAAAGGTTGCCAGCTCGATCCTTCCCTTATGAACTTGTCGAGACCGGGAACAACAACAGTCAAGTTCACATAACCGTCAAAGCCGCGCCTGATGGCGCATCTCGATATGTCACTTCAAGGACTGACCAAAGTTGACATTGCCTGCATTGAAGCGGCTAGACAATATCTCCCAGATCGCGTCCCGAGCAATGATGGGCTGATAACTTCTGGATATGAGAGTGAGAACCCCTTACGGCGCTTATTCGATGACGAAAACATCTTCACTGAGGGTGGCGTAGGCTTTCTGGAAGGGAGAGAAACAGTCTTGAGACTGAAGTTCCGAATTCTGCAACTCATTGCCGATCTGTTTCCTAGTAGCGAGATCGATGAGGCTTCACTCCAAGTACTTGGAATGGGCTCTTTCAACATCGTCGTAGCTGTCACATTACAAGACAAGGCGCAAAGACGTGACTCCGGGGTCGACTTTAGCGCTAGAGTGTCAAGGTTTCTTGGCATACCTCCACGAATCCGCAAGTTTGCTTTGAGAATTCCAAGAGACAAGAATGGAGACATGGATGGTCCTCCTGTGAGCGACGTGGCTGGCGACATTGTTACACAACGCGTTATCAGCTCCTGCCTAGGGCTACCCATACCCAAGATTGAGAAGTACGATCTTGGTCCGACAAATGCCTTGGGACGGCCATATACCCTGCAGACCTTACTACCTGGTAAGAACTTACATGCATTGTGGCTAGAGCTAAATCCGCAACAGAAAGCGTCGGCCATCCAGCAGATTACGGAAACAGTGGAGAAGATTGCAGCCGTCACGACGCCCGCGGCTGGGTTCATCTCCCTGAGTAACTTGAACTCAGGGAGCTCAGCTGTGGCACTGGATCAATTCCCCGTTCCGACGGACAAAGAAGCGAAGATACGACCACACTTCGCTCAGCCCAGCCAGCGTCCAGCGCCATCTCAAACGCCTTTTGAGTATCTCATTGATCATTGCCAGCGCTGGCAGAAGTACGAAGAAGAGATTGGACGTGCAAATCGAAACAAAAACATGTGGCGAATCATAATCGCCGTTGCGAAAGCTCTAGACAGGCGCGGATGGCTAGGGCAGCGCTTCCATCTTACGCATGGCGACTTGTTTCCCCGGAACATACTCGCTAAGATCACAGGCCCAGAGACTGTTGAAATCACGGGTATCGTAGACTGGGATATGGCTTGCTTTGCACCCAAGTTTGTGGCCCTTCGGCCCCCGTTCTGGGCATGGGTAGGTCACTCGATGGACGAGAGAGACGAAGACTTGGCAACGTACGAGCCGCCTGAAGGGAAATTCAGGACGTTGAAGCAGGCTTTTAGGAGCGCAGCGTCAGAAGGTTTCATCGTTTTTGGTCTTTCGCGCGAGAGTGCCATCGCGAGAAAGCTTTTTAGGGTCGTCAACAGTGGATTGCTGGGCGATCGTCGGCATCTGGCACTTCAGCTGGCAGAAGAATGGAATGGCTTGTATCCGGAGGATAAGATTGGTGATCTTGAAGCAGAGTGGAACTGAGGGACATTCACTCCGCCGTGCATATAATTCCAAACAACCGTATAACTTTCTTGCTTCCTACCTACACACGTGCAACATTCTATGCAAAGGCTAATGGGTGGTCTCGAAGAACTTCGCAACTACCAGAAACACGAGTAGGTTACTGAAGTTGAGGTTCCTCATCTCAGGGTGATGTAGCAGTGATGACCCTTGGGAGCAACCAAGAAGTTGTTATCCATCTCCATCATCTCATCGTTCATGGAGTCGGCAATTCTGGCGCCGCGACAATGTCGGAAGAAGAGAGCAGCTCCTAAGCGGAGCTCCATGTACGCCAAATGTATGCCAATACACACCCTCGAACCACCTCCAAAGGGCATGTATGACGCCTTCTGATGTGCTGACATCGTGCTCTTGTCCAAAAAGCGAAGGCCGTCAAATTCGTGGGGATTGGGAAAGGCAGAGGGATCGCGATGGTTTGTGTAAGCCTGGGTGCTGACCACAGTATCGGCGGGGATGTGATGGCCGCCCATGACAGTGCCCTGTTTCGGTACAACCCGAGGTAACGCACCAGGAGCAGCGCCGTAAAGCCTCAACGTCTCTGCGATGACGCTGTTCAATAGAGGCGCGTTCTCGAGCTCTTCCTTTGTAAGCTCCTCGCTGAGTTCTGCAATCTCGTTCTCGAGTCGAGACTGCAGATCAGGCTGCTTGAGAACCGCCCAGACGAGATACGTGAGCGTCACCGCGGTAGTGTCCGATCCGGCCACAATAAAGCCGGCCGCTTCCTCCCTTATGTGTTTATTAGAAAGCGCGGCAGTCTTACTGTCTTCCCCAGCAGCCATCATTTGATTGAAGAGATTCTTAGTATTGCCACCCTCACTGCGCATCTTCTGTATCGCCCGCTCGCCGTGTTCGTTTAGGACATCATCGATCGAGTAGAGAAACTTTATCCGTTTGATCGGGAGGTAACTAAGAAGTTTCCAGATGGTAGTTCCAATTTCGGACCGAATGATACCGCAAATAAGCGCAGCCTGAATAGCATCGATGTATGGTGTTTGCTACCTCTGTTATTAGAGAATGCATACATAGCAAGACTGAAGAAGGCTGAGTTGCATACCTTACCCATCTCAAGCATTTCGGAGCTCTCTCCAAAGCTGAGGTGAGCGATTACATCATTCGCCATGAGCGTCCACCATTTGAGGACATCGGCTCCTTGCGATGAACCCATTGCGTCGTGTCGAATTCTCTGGACAGCTAGGTTTGCTTTCGTCCTAATCTCTACGTCCCAGTTGCTGCTCAAGCTGGTGTTGCTGAAGGGTCGGGCAAACAGCCTTCTTCTTGCGGCGTGGGCATGTGGATCGCGCATCGGGAATATACCGGGTGTATCAGTTGGAAGGAGAGACGAGTAGAAGTCCGACTTCAGGTATCCCGCACCGATCTTGTGTATCTGACTGACACCGGCTATATCTGATACGGCTGTCTCGTTTGGCGATATTCGTACGACGCCGCCATAGCGCTGGTGAAGATTGTCCACGTAGAAAATTCGTTTGCCTGAAACCGTCTGGTAACGAAGGACGAGGTTGGTGTATTTAGTGTACCACGGCCCTGGCAGCTTTGACAGTGGACCCGTGAACCCTGTCCATACGATCTTCGCATTGTTAGTCTTGACGTCAAGGAGCTTGATATGAGTCTTGTACCTTGATGATGTAGGCCAGTACCACCAAGAGAGCGGCCAAGACGCCCCGCTGAAGTGGCATGTTGATGAAGTTCGAGTGAGCTCGCAGTTCCCGCCCGTATAGATCTTGGTCGAGTAGAGGACTGATCTTGTGATCCAACTTGCAATATGTTCACTCAAGTCTCTAGCTGCGTGGGCCTTTTACATATCGCCAGCGCTTGCGGAATGTGGGGGCCAAGGTCGCGAACGGCCCTTCATTTTTGGCGGTGGTTTTTCGATTCAATAGTGACGCACGTCCTGGAGGGTACTTCGTGTGCCACCTTGGAAGTAGCATACCTGACAGACGCTCGCATCCGCACCATGAGAGACTTGTTGCATTCGCTCAAAGCTGCCGGTCAAAAGCATGGATGAGATCGACCGAGTAGTGGGTTTGAACGCATTTGAGTACACACCATGGGACGCGACCAGTCAGGAGGCCTAAAATGTATACAAGCATAAACACACGCAATTGGTCAGTCGAAGCCGATTGATGAGGGGGTATTGCATTGGAGTGGGCGGAGCGGTGTATCAGATTCTCCGCCTCCACCTACGAATGGCTCGGATGTGTTGTTGCCCCGACTGAGGCCCTGTGCACCCTAGAACGCGCTTCGTTTTGAGTCGGCCGAGGTGCGCTGGGTAACGGTGTTACTCCAGAGATTGATCACGGAGTCTACGGACGCCACGGCCGCCGCCGTAGCTCATGCGTCGCTCGTACAATCCAGGATTAGCTCCCAGGCTAGACCTTATGAAGATTAGCGTGCGGGCCGCGAGCGGGGAAAGTGATGACGTAAGGAGGCTCAACAATGTCGCCAAAATCTATTCTCGCCATCTCCAGCTTGCACATATCTACTCAATATCGCTAGCGAACTAATGGAACAGGCTGACTTCCCGAAGAATATATCGCGAGGGTTCGCCAGCTTGCCATTAGAGCTCTTCCTCAACGTTCTCGATCAACTTGTGGGTACCCACAACGGCCAGCATCCTGTAGCGTATGCACCGTCAAACATCATCACCAAGACGTTGCGCGCACTCACTCTGGTGTCGCGCAACACTTATCTTATAGCAACACAGTATCTTTACTCACATTGTCTGTATCTGGACAGTTGCACGACCTATGCGCGATTTCGCAGAACACTCGGACTAAACCTGGGGCATCACCCACAAGCTCTCAACTATGGAGAAGCCGGGCGAAACGAAGAACTTTTCGCGGAAGCCCAGGCACTCCGCCATATAACATCAATATTCATCTCGCCAACTGAGGTGCACAGGCTGGTCGAAGGGAACTACACGCCTTTGGTGCGACTACCCCAAATTATCGACCTCTTGAGCAATTTGATCTCGCTGAAGAGACTGGCTTTAGACCTCTCTCCGATTTATGCACCCCCAAGTGAGGTTGAGCAAATCAGGCCACATGTCACCGTCAACAGAGTCTTTTCACACATGTCACACCTTGAAGAGCTCATTGTCAGCTACGATGTGGTCAACTACTTTCGACACCCACCGCCCAATCTCAAACGGCTTGCCATCACTACCCAAGAGATGTCGGATCTAGAAATAGCATTCTGTCTCAAGACCCCATCCTTGCAAGCGCTTGTGATGATGCGACCCGTCAACCTAGCAGCGAAAACCATCGACTCAATATTCAGATCATACGACGGGAAAAGTCTGGACGTTGTTCTGGTCGATGTGAACTCGAACCATCGGACACCCCACAAGACCCGGAACTGGACACATCAAGATACAGTACGTATCTGGGAAGCTGATGTACCGGTCAGCTTTTACGGCGATGAGGACGACATCATTTTATGCGATGCTTGGATATGGAATCACGGAGTAGGTGGTACCCTATGGAGTCAAGACAAGCGGCGGATGGCATCATGGGAAGAGATTGAGAAGCGTCTGGCCGGACCAGTACACACCATTGTTGATTTGTAGCTTCGAGGTTATTGCACACATCGGGACATCACGGCTTCAGCAGCATCAAAGTGGCATCAACATCGGTTTTGCATTCGTTGTGAGAGGCACCTCTCGGATCGTCTATACACATTCTCAATCTCCTCGCAATGAGAAGTTACACATGTCTTTCCGGTGCATGAATCTGGTTTCCCCAGGTTACACCCTCTTGTACCAGCAAGCTCCCCGGAAACTTGTCTTTCAGTGTACCCCGCCCGACTATATCGTCTGCTTCTCTTTCTAACTCTTCTATATCCCATGTAGTATGCACATAGCTGCCCTTCAGCTTATCTGCTCTTCCTCCGCCTAGCCAGACCGAGAACATGCCGACTAGCTCTGGACTATCGAACGCAAAGGGCCTGAACATATCGCTCGTCCTCTCTGTCCTCACGACCCCCGGGTCTAGCGAGAAAGCCTTCATATCTGAATATTCGACGTTGAGGAACTCGATGAGCCGGCGGTCGGTTTGTTTCGCAATGCCATAGGAAGAGAGACCGGGGGTCACGACCGTGCCCGCACCGGATGTGATGGAGATGAATGTTCCGGTTGGTGCAGGACCAAAAGTGCGGATGTATTGGTGGGCGGGAAGATGTGTGCTGCGGAAGTTTGTCGTCATATCGGCCCACCACTCGTCGTTGTCGTCGATCTCATCTATCCTGCTGAGATGTGCGGTACCGACGTTTGCGATGACTACATCCAGCTGACCGAACTCCTCTCTTATCGAATCAAAGAGCCTGGCGACTTCGGCCGATTTTGTGGTGTCGCAAGCCATGGCCAGGATCTGTGCTGTGGGGTTGAGTCGCTTCAGTCTGACGATGACGGGCTCGAGATCGTCTTCATTGCGACTGCTGATGGCGATGCCCGCGGCCCCTGCCTTTGCCCACGATGAAGCGATTGCCCGACCGATTTCTTCCGAAGCTTCGGTAACGAGGACGTATATGCCGGCGCCGGTGTGTTGTACTTCTTCAAGAGCAGGATATGGCTGGCGATAGTATGTGCTAGTGAACTGGCACATCTTTGTGAGCATGTCTGGGTCAATGTGCTGGGCGACCATGGTGACGATGGGAAAATGTGTAATGTTCTTCGGCGGATGTGGTGGAAGACTTCCTGGTAATCATCATCACATACCCGGAGACGCCACCTCGCGCGATTAGCGTGCTATCAGCATTCGCCCGACGCGATACCACTTCAGAGCTATCCTACTCTCCCTGTGGTGTTGAGGCAACAACAACCGGTCACCAGCACCTCGGCAACATCCTTCGCGTGCTCGACCCACGGACGAGTATACCCAAAAGATAATGTCGATGATGGTTATATGCAATCTAAAGTTCTTTCACACTCCTAACATCTCTTTCACAGCAACTTCCTGCATGTGCTGCTTTGATAAAGGTGTAAGGCTATACGACCAAGCCAGTCACAAACTGCCCACGACCTACTCCAGCACGAAGGGGCAGGCCTAGGGCTACCTGGCAGATGACGTGCCGACTCCAGACACCAGTCTTTGAGCATTTGGAAAGGCAGCTGTCTAAATATAGAGCGCTTCTAGGGAGAAAGTGTACAAGAGCATCTCGCTTGTATCCGCGGCCTATAATTAGGCCGCTAGCATGCAGGCCGGAGGGCCCACAGCACGGCTAAGAGACCGATAACAGGGTGGTTGGAGGCTGATCTATCCAAAATGTGGTCCAGACATTCGCCTTACGGTGTTGTGAACCAATGCGAAGCGATCAGACAGGTTGGCGCTCTCGCGTGTGAGCATTTGGGGGCCAAAAGTGCGGCCAGATTTTACCGGCGGAATTCTGCCGGTCACTTCTCAACCTGGAATGCAGCGCGAACCTCGGAACAGCACGTGTGAACTTCTGTGTATAATGGCGATGATTGATCGATTAACAAGCATTAATTTGGCATCTAATGCGGTGTTTGTGGATATCGCCGAGGTAACCACGCATCCTATTTCATTCGCCACTCACTTCATCCCGTAGTACTGCGATGACGCAGAGCGAAACGAGCCACTCCCAACTTCTTCAACATCGACAGCCTAGACAAGAAGATATTCTCACAAATAGGAGGAGTCACAAGTATAACATACCATCGCGTATTTGCAGCAACGACCACGTCTTCTTCACCAAACCTACGCAACAACCACCTCCTGCGCCCCAACATCCATTTCCGCGCTCTCCCCTCTCTTCGTCTCCTCCTGACCCCTCTTCCACTCCTCCGCCCTCCCATAACTCTCCCTATACCCCCCCAAAATCGCCTCTTCAACCGTAATCTCCGCCCACCTCACCCCCTCCCCCTCCCCCCTACAATTCGGCAAACAACCCACCACATACTCCGGATTCCCGCTAAAGAACACAGGAATACTATACCTCTCCTGCCCACTCACATTGATAACACGATGCAGATTACTCACATACCGGTCGTTACTCCACCGCATCATCAGGTTACCCAGGTTGATGACGAAAGCACCGGGTGTGGGGGTTACATCGAGCCATTCTTTCGTGGCGTGGTCGTAGACTTGCAGGCCGGACACGGTGTCTTGGAGGAGGATAGTTATGCAGCCGAAATCTGTGTGGGCGCCTATGCCGCGGGTGAGGTGCGTGGGGCTTGAGGGTGGTTGGGGCGGGTAGTGCAGGAGGCGCATTGTTGCTACTGCGCCTGTGGCGAAGGCGTTGAAGTAGGTTTCTTCCAAATCGAGTGTCAAGGCGAGGACTTTCAAGATGTCTTTTGCGAGGGTGACGACGCGGGTGTAGTATTCCAAGGATGTTTCTTTGAAGTCTTGGACTTTGGGTAGGGTGGCGGCGGACGGCCATATGTTGGGTCCGGAGTTGAGTTTCTTGTTGATGAAGTAGGGGTGTGTTTTTGGGATTTCGTCGCCGATGTAGAAGCCTTCTTTTAGTTCGGGCGTGGTGCCGGCTTCGAGGATTTGCGATTCGAGGAGCTCGTAGCCCCGGTTCCAGGTGTTGGTTGTGTCTAGATGGGGGTGTGGATGAGTTGATGTGTCTAGACGACGTTGCTTAATGATATGGCTGAACATACCCTTGTTTACTTTGTTCTTCTCTTCCAGTGGTAGATCGAAGAACTTCTTGTTCCAGTCCATCATCCTGTTCTGCAGCTCGATTGGTACATTATGACCCGTGATCTGGAAGAACCCATTATGCAGGCAACAGTTTCGCACTTCCTCTACGAGTTGTTTCTTGGATGCTGGGTCGTTCTGGTAGAACTCTAGGCTTCATTAGCAATGTTTCTACTGCTAAGGCTGTCTGACGGGCAAGCGTACTTGAGAAGTCTAGGATGGGAGGCGCTTCACCGGCGTTAGGCATAATGGGCTTTCTCGGTCAAGTTCAGCGTGGTATGAAGGTAACGAGTGTGATTGAAGTGACCAAGTGGTCAGAATGTGATGATTCTTAGGTATCTGGTCACGTTGAGTGTGGGTTCTACAATAGCAGCGAGCGATCGAGACGCGTCGCCTTAATTATACTACGATTGATCGTTGCTTCCGCTTTCCGTCATTATCATATCCCAGTATGTCGGTTACCCCTCACAAGTGTTGCGCTATCGATAACAGCGTTATGTTGTCGAAGATGGGGCAAGTGGGATTGCGAAGCCCTTCACCCCACTCTTGCTGTGAGCTTGTGATTGGCCATGCGACACATCATCTACGGGATGCATCATGCATAACAAGGGGTATTCTGCCAAAATCAAGACAAGCTATTGAGTGCAGACTGCCAGATCGCATGTCTTCTTCAACCACCACCATACTGTATTGCAGCCCTTAGTCATGCGAGTCGATAGTCCCGTCATCCTCGTCCCGCACATCGTCGAGCTCAAGGTCTTGTTGAGCCAACGTGTAAATGCCTTCATCTCGGTCCCCAACGTCCATATTTGCCTCGGCACCGTCGCTCTCATCACTCGCGTACGCTGTGGCAAGCCTCTGATCGTAATGCAGCTTCTGCCATTCATCGACAATAGACCTAGCTTCCTCTTTGCCTCCATCATGACGAATACCGTCTCGGAGCAGAGCGAACATTCTCCTCGCGATCATATACTCCGGTTCGTAGGCGTACCGCTTCCACTCGTCACTCGCCGCTTCTTCCCACAAGCTCTTCAATCGCCGGTGATCAGCATTCGTTGGCTCATCTGCAGCTATCATCTCGTTGTACTCGTGACCACCCGATACCCATAGCCAGAACGGCGCACGATAAGCGACGAACTTGGGGCAAAAGTATGCGAATTGAGCATCCCAGTCCAGCAGTCCGGTGAGTGAGAGCGATGAATCATCTTCAATCTCTACGAGCATGTTTCGTGGATAGAGGTCGAGATGGCAGAAGTAGAAACGGTCGGTATCCGGAATAAAGCCCATGTTGTGAAGGGATTTGGTGATGATATCGAAACAATCCCATATAACCTCATCGCCGTTCTCCTGATCCTGCTCCAGTCTTTGCCATCGACGACTCTGGTGTAGCAATAGCCTCAGCAGGCCGGTCCACGTGTCCCGCAAATGCTGATACCGGGCCCTTGGTAGTTCTGAAGGCACAAATTTCCGGGATAACTTCGCCGCGAGAAAGCAGTAGAACTCTTAGACGGGCAATGATACCTGCCTTGGGTCCCTGAATCTTATGCAATCTCTTCATGACACGAACAACAATGTGCATCGTGCTTATCTTCTGGTCGATCGTAAGTCCGAGCCATATCTTATTGAGATTTTGGCCGGGAAGACGGTTCTGAATGGTATAGGTCCGCGACAAAGGATTACGCGTGTTTTCATCGAGGTGTATGACCTGAGGCACGATGTTGCCGAATTTTCTGGACTTTATGCCCGCGAACTTTAGAGTAGCCACATCATACCTCATATCCAAGTCGTCGCATGAAGGCTCCCTTCGTGCGCTCCTCAGTATGTAGTGCTTTGGCTCGTAAGCCTTGATGTGAGCTTCATTAATGGGTAGCAACGAACGTATCCATGGAATAGTGAAAGCGCGTGGAGGTAAAGGCGTGACAGTGATCGCGGTGATGCGGTTGTAAGTCCCACCGCGCAGGCGCTCGACTTGAAAGCTTGATCTTGGGAATTGAGCGGCGCAAAGCTCCATAACTCTTGTTCTGAACAATTCGAACGACTCTTGATCGTGTTCCACAGTGGATGTTTGAGATACGCTGGAGGGCTCTTCATCTTCAAAGTCGACATCACGCTCTTCGTGCTGAGCCGTATCGATGAGGTATCGGCGTATGTCTGAAGCTTTGAACCTGTGATTTGGCATGGAAGCTGTAGGGGTTTGCGCCTTATGAAACGGTGTGGGGATGTGCGCGAGCAACTATGAGCAGCGAAACACCTTTTCCAGCCTACAAAGGTGACGTTCGTGCGACATTGCGCCTTTTCCAAGGTGATATTTGCAGGTGTTTGCAGGGTACGTGCAGGCGCTCGTACCAGAAGCTCCATAGGAAGCGGGCCGAAGAGCCCAGACGCTCGATATGAGAGCGAAGAAGAAGAAGTACATCATGTCAAAAAAGATTGCGATTCACGAACGCCAAAGAATAGGAAAGCTAATACTAGACAGAAGATTCTTGAACCCGCCGTTGCCAGATGTCATCGGAATACCGTGATACGCGACGGTGCCGGATGTCGGGTGTGGGAGAGCATCGTGGACGCGTTTGCACCTAGTTCAACGAATTTGAGTACGGGGAGCAAATACATGATATAAAGGGACAGCAATGCGACACGATGAGAGTAGACTCAAAGGAATGCTGGGTGTTGAGACGCGAGAGATGACGGAAGACATTCCGTCATCAACTCTTGTCTGATTGGCCAACGGAAGCTCCACCTTCCGTCGGCCGCCCCACCTTCGCATTAGTGTTGCTTGGTCATGCTCGACATAAGCAGCGCATTCTCCGCCAAGCCCCAGGTTAAGACGCGCCGGATTGTTAAACCTTTACCAACCAAGCAAGCTCACGATGGCACCCACACCAGACCGCCCCGAAGCCTCCCTCGAACATTCTCGTCACCCTAGTCGCGTTTTGCATAAAGCGCCCCCGCCCGACCCATGAAGACGCTTTCCTCCCTCCTCATCGCCATCATCGCAATTGCACTTGCCGTATACAACAACGAGTACATGCTCTCAAGACTCACACAGTCACTGAGACACGCCACATCCCTCGCAAAGACCACCAAGCCCTTCTACAACGCCACGGAAGATATGTCGACCATGTTCCGCGGACTGCCCGTCATTCCCGACGAGAAGTTCACCACCGATGCGCCCCGCAAGATCGCAAAGTCGTTCCTTGCAGTTGAGCAATCTGAAGGCGCAGGAGCGAAAGTGAGGAGGAGTGTTGGCACCCCCAAACTCCGCAACTTCTCACCCTTCCTCATGCTCGACCACTTTGCCATTCCACCAGGCGCAGGCTTCCCTGACCACCCACACCGAGGTACGTGATGAGCACGACGGAGTACTTAGGATCAACATACTGACTTTTTATTGCAGGCCAAGAAACCATCACATACCTCCTCTCCGGCGCCGTCGACCACGAAGACTTCGCCGGAAACAAGGGCACCATCGAGCAGGGCGACCTGCAATTCATGACTGCCGGTCGCGGCATCGTCCACGCCGAGATGCCGCGCCAAAACGAGGACGGCGCGCCCAACGTCGGAATGCAACTCTGGGTGGACCTGCCCAAAGAACTAAAGTCATGCGAACCCCGCTACCGCGACCTGCGAGCGAAGGAGATCCCCGAGACGACCGCGGACGACGGCAAGGTGCACGTCAAAGTCATCAGTGGACAAGCGTACGGCACCGAGAGTCTGAAGGAACTGGCATACACACCCGTCTGGCTGCTCGACTTTACAGTCCAGCCCGGCGGCAAAGTCAAGCAGCCCCTACCAAAGGGCTGGAACGCCTTCGCATACCTCCTCAACGGCACCACCATCTTCTCTTCCGACGGCGTATCGCGACCTATCGAACAATACCACAACGTCGTTTTCGAGAGCAACGGCGATAGCATCGAAGCATCTGTAGAGGAAGGTGTCGACACGCCATCGAGGTTCATTCTCGTTGCTGGTCTGCCGCTCGATCAGCCCATCGTACAATACGGACCCTTTGTCGTCACGTCAAGAGATGAGGTCATGCAGGCTATGATGGACTACCAGAGCCACTCGAATGGTTTCGAGAGGGCGAACAACTGGGAAAGTGAGATCGGCAAGAGCATGGTGCATTGAGTTGCTTGACTCTGGTAACGGTCTCTTTTTCAACTTCTTCTGTATATACCAACTCACGATACCTTTATTCCTACCATCACAGCATTTTCCACTACCCTATTCGCCGTCCCACCCTTTTTCTACAAGCATTCATTCTGCTGTCAGATGCCCAGGAACAACACCAGGCTGAGCAAACATCGTCTCATGATGTGTCTCGTGCGTTCTACGATTGTCTCGCTAGTTGTCTCACAGACCTACAAATATCCCACCAAATGCATGCTCCATCTGTTCCCTTCACAAGATCTAACAGACATCCACCACAATCAATCTTTATCCAGGGCCGTCAGAATACAATTCAATGGCAGATTCATCCACCACTCAAGCTTCAACAAGCTCGACGCTATGTTCGATGTGTCCGCAGCCCGGCACGATAGTTTGCCCTGAGTGCGACTGTAGCCGATACTGTTCGGAAGCTTGTCAAGAGGATGACGGGCCAACTCACAAGCTTCTGTGCGAATCGTATAAGGACTTCCACGAGAGCTTGGCTCCCTCTCCAGAACACTTTCGCGCAATATTCTTCTCAGAGGATGGACCGGGGCCTGTCTTTGCATGGCTACGCATCGAAGACTGCAATCAGCCTGATCAGGCGATGATCATCCACTGCAACAGCGTGCCATTTCCACCACGGTCCCAGGTCCACGGATCGCCACAGTCAACAGGCGATAAGGACGAAAACCGGGTTCTCCAGCGTCCCCACGAACCAATCAGCCAAGTTGGATTTCTCGCTGCCGACACAAACGGTGAGATAAGATTCGCAGGGAGGCCGACTGGTAGCGTTGGAAGCATTGATCCAGAGTTAGTCGGTGGCTACAAGGGACCATTGCTATTCTGCGGTTTGCGATACCACCTCGACATGATATCCTTCCGGCACATAGTCGACGATCTGCGCTCGTGTTGGTACGATGCCAGAATCGATGCCGAGAGGCGGATACCAGGTCCTATAAAAGGCGTTCGCGTAAACTGTCTCGGCGACACTGTCATCAGTAAGCGACCAAATTACGAACCGATCAATACACTCCACCACACCTTCTTCGACACTGATCGCATCTTCAAGATCCCTGTAGGCGAGAAGATCGGTATCCCATTAGAGGTACACCTAATCGAGCCTGCTGTACCGTGGAGGAATCGTCGTCTTTATGGCGACACGATTATTCCATATTCACTCAATTTCGATGCGCGAATACTCAACCCAGCGCAGTGGCGGATGATTACAGGCTCGATCATGATCATTCGCAGAGACCTCAAGCCGCTTCATTGCGCCCACATAGACGCACTGCGCGAGTACTGTCTCCGCGAAAGCTTCAGTTCCGCACAACTATCCAATCTGCCCGGGGGACCTCATAGCCCTAATCAAGACTTGACTCCATTTATCGACATCGTTCAACAAGCAAGTTCTCAGCAGTTGCTGTCTCGTGCGTCGAAGCAGGGCTTTTCAGACTTCTATCTCAACTTCATGCAAAACGGTGGACACGCGAAGTATGGATATATCACTTCTCCTTACATAGTCTAGGGACCTGGGTTAGGTAGCTAGATCGTGTAGGTATTGAATGTGTTAGTCAGGCTCATACTTGGTGAAACATGTCTGACTATAAAATCTACGAATCTGCAAGCTATCTTTTCCACACGTGCGCGTTCATCGACCTTTCTCTAAATAGACTCAAAGACTGACACACCCATTCGAGCTATCCTCCACAAAGATGCCACCGTAGATTTGTCCCTCACCGCGGAGTGGAAGGTGCTCCTGATACCCATCATACACCACCGTCTCAGTCTCCGTAGGCTTCTTCGCAATACCAACCTGCAACTGCCCACCACCAGCATTGCTATTAGGCGTAGCCCTCGTAACCGCCTTCAACGGCCTATCACCCGCAGAGTAATAAACCTTGATCGTACTAATCATCTCGTCAGCGCCCTTATCCCCACTCAAACCCCATTGCACGAAAAAGAAAGAAGGCCACTTACTCCCCAACATAATCCAACTGCACCCCAAAATTCTGCCACTCCCCCCTCACCATCCTCGTCTGAAACACAAACTCATTCTTCGCATTCTGCACCTTCCACATCTCCCTCTCTTTCTTCGTATCAACCCCCGTCCCGCCATCACCGACCAACACAACACCACCCACAAACATGAATTGGTTACCGCTGTAATCACCCTTCTCATGCCAAACATTCATATACTCATGGCTCAGATTCAACGGCCTGTGTTCATCCTGCCGGATACTCCAATGGAATGTCACAACCCCGTTATCCGATGCATCAGCTCCAGCATCATTCTGGTCCTCTTTGAGAAGGAGGCCGGCGCGGCGGAACCCCGTTTGCAGGTTTTCGCCTGCGCGGAAGAGGGAGCCGGAGTCGATTGTTACTTCGACTGGTTTGTGCAGGAGCGGGTTGTCGAAGCGAGATGGAGGTGTGGTCTTTGGGAAGAGGAGAATGGATGACCAGGTGTGGTTTTCGCCTTTTACGTAGTCGGGGTTGTAGGGGGTGGAGCCGGCGGGTGTGTTGAAGGATTGGAGGGTTAGGTTTTTGGTGATGCGGCCGTCGAAGATTATGGGGCATTTGATGTTAGTTTTTGGGCTGTGAGGGTGGGGATGGAAAGGTGGAAGAGGTGCGGGTGCATGTGAAGGTGGAGGCGGAGGTGCAGGTGGATGCAATGGGGTTGCGAGGGCGAGGCCCAGGAAGGGAACGAGATGGAAAAGCTGCATTTTGAACTTCGATTCCCAAGACACTGTCAATGCTCACGATGCACATCAGTATATTTTATAGGTATCAAGTCAGTGTTACGCTAGTGAGCCCCATGCATATTGGCTAATTAAGTAGAGCGGCAGAACACTATGGGCGAAGTTCTAGTGCAGCCACATTTACCGGAACACCATTTGCACCAGGCCGACGGACCTGGACGCCGGATTCTTTCGCATCCTGCAACGACAAACATCTTACTTCTCAAATACACTGGTTCTGCTTCTAGACGCGATCTGCAAGCTTCATGACACTATGAACGCATCAGAGCGCTAGGCCGCATACGGTGAAGAGACATCCCCATACTTCCATAGCCCTTCTTCTTCCATCCACTTTATCCAAAACCGCTCGAAACCCTCTCTAGAAGCTTTTTCAAGTAACACGTCATTGTGCATCTCGAAAGCCTCGTCGAACTTGGAGATTAGGTTACAGGGCTCCTTGCTGTCTAGAATCTCTTGAACCTGCCCACTACCGATGGAGTATAGATATGCCATCAAAGCCGCAATGTGAGCGACAAGCAATGGCTTCTTGTCTTTCCTCGCGACACACAGACTACCCAGGCTGACTGACCACTCAGAAGGGTTGAGCTGTGCGAAACCGAAGTTCCAAGCATGATTCAAGCCTTTGTAGCCACCGCTACGGTTTCTCCATGGTAGCGCTGGGGGGATGGTGCGAGCGAAAAGATCGATACCGAGTTTGGAGGCAATCCACATGAGGAGGCTCTCGTCCTTTTCGTAGAAGCCGTCGGTGACTTTGCAAGCCTCGAGTGTCGGACGATCACTGACCAGCCGATCACCGATGCAGTTGATGCGGACACCAGGTATGTAGCCTTTTCTTTTGTCTCCAATTTGGCGGCGTGATTTATCGTACTCCATGTGCATCATGTCAACGATATGCCGGAAACTGGTCATGTCGAGATGTGCGCGATGGCCGACGAAGAGTATATTGCCTTTGCAGCAGTGCAGTAGCTCGGGCGCAAGATTCCTCATGCTCTTGTTTGGGACGCCGGTCAGGCATAGTTGATCCGGTAAAGCTGGGCAGGCTTCAAGGCAGCCAAGCATGTGGATGGTATCGTGCGAGCGTTTCAAAACGCAGTTGTAGGATGAGTTCCCGCAGTTGACGAGTCCCTTGCTCTGGTCATCTGGCATCAGATAGTATTGCAGAGCAAAGCCCTCATCGCCGGACTGAGGCGTCATCCTCACCCATACCCATTCGGGCGCGGTCTTTCTGGCGTTGAAGAAGATGGCCTTGAACAGTCCAGGTTCAGGAGGGATCTGTGTCTTGTAATTTCGATAAGCCCGGCAGAGTAGTTGATGAACGGATTTGTCGTCCTGCAGACATTCCGTCGAGCAATAATAGCTGCACTTGCATGTCGTGCACATGCATGTAGCTTTACGGTGGCACATGCAGCAGAGGCGAGCAGGTGGTCTCGAGACTTCGTTCATGATGACGTTGTTGGTTGGATATCGATATAGTGTGTGATTAAGATAAGAAAGAAGGATGAAAGGCTAGGAACGCTAGAACAAACGTATGCATCTGATCTGTGAACGGAAGGGAAATAGCGCGAAAGTGCGCCTAGCACCCACCAAGTGCTTTGACAATGGACGCTTTCCCATGGACGCAGCTCGATTTTAGCGAGACATTACAATCAATCTGCCGAGGTGAAAGTATCAAAGCCGTGCCAGGTAGTGCAGACAGCCCTGTGCATATGATCATAGCCGGTAGAGATTAGTCATCTTTCTCTTCACTTTTCCGGGTTGAGGTTGTTGCTCGTTGACGCCCCAAAATTTGAGGAAGGTGATCGGTTTCCAGGTCCATTGCGCTTCGTCGTTCAGAGCATTGTCCAGGATCCACGTAATGACGGCGGTGAATGCCACAACCCCGATGGCGCTGACCCAATAGACCCAGAATTCACTTCGGTTCTGAGACCGAGCATGAAAAGTTAGTAATTGTTCACTGACAATATGTTCATGGTGATCTTACCGGTGCGTAGTTGTCTTGCATACTGAACAAGCTGCTCGTGTATGCCAAGGGAATGAACAGCAGGGCGAGAAGGTTGAGTCGTTTCACGCGCTTGGCCTCCTCCAAGTTCTGACGATTACCCGCGATCGATGCCAGTCCAGTCATGGCTTGGATCAGATTATCGGCCCTTTCTTTAAGGATCTTGAGACGGAAGTAGACGTATTGGAAGTCTTTCTCGCAGTCTTTCCACGTGTGCGCATGCAACCTGACGGACTTGTTGATCTGCCCATCTAGCGAATAGTCGAGACTGAGTAATGCATCTTCAAGATCGTCGCGATAGTTGCCGCACCGACGTGAAATAGTCTGCAAGCTCTTCCATTGACCCTGCTCTTCAACCCATGCGGTAGTAAGACGAAGCTCCAATGAAGGCAGCATTGCTTTGATGTAATCGACAAGCTGGAGGTAGTGCGCAGCGACTATCTTCTTGAGGAAGATTGCTGACGTATTGGGCGTAGCCCACTCGTCTTCGGAGAACAGATCAGAGTGTTGCTGGTAGTAGTGAAGGAGGTCGCGCAGCATTGACGTATGCGGATGTTGTGTCTTGCTGTGTATTTGATGATGAGGGACGGGCGGAATGAAGTCAACATAGCCTTCCTGAAAGGGCGTGTTTTGAAGTTCGTCGCGTACATTGGCGATTGGACGAAGTGTGTTGTCGTCGGGATCGACTTCTTTGGGCGGAGGGCTTAGATGAAGCAGCTGGGGATCACACAATATGACCACTGCGTAAATCAGCTAATGTCTATCAGACCTTCCCTTACTACTTTGGTCTCCGGGACTGGTATCGGGCTTCTAAGGCGGCAATATGCTTTCAGAGAATGGTCCCAGGATCGAGAGTGTGAAATTGACGTACCATCCCAGCCGCCATTCTCGGTTTGGCGAGACCACCACCCGACTTTGCGACGTAGTATTCCGATCGTACTGTTCTCCTTCTGACGGGATGCTGTCATGCCCACATGCCGTCGCGTTCGCTCACAGAAGAAGTAGCGATTCTCAAGCGCCTTGTTGAACTGTCGCAGCTCGCAATACTGGAGCTGGAAAGCTTGCCGTGGGTCAAGCAAGCTAGGTTGGGGCAACGCATCGCTCACTGGTGTAAAGTCGTTACTCCAGACACATGTCCTCTCTTGCCGCTGGAAGAATGAAGGATCCATGAAAAAGTGACCGCCGACGGCTGCGACAAAATCGGGTGCCAGACCCTCCATGATATAAATGCGCCGACGGTTGTGGTTGTGCCCCGCGGATTCAAAGTGCCTAACAAGCTCTTTCTCGCCTCTGAACTCAGTGGTTGTGAAACCAGATGCCCCAGTAGGAGGAGCGTCTAAAAGCGCGATGAGCGCGTTGCCATATTTCAGTGGCTCATCCTTGTTGTTTGGATCGGCCTTCTTCAGGCCAGGATTGGACCCGCTCAAGGCCTCGATATAGTCGCGATATTTGCCTGCTCGAGATTAACGACACCCGCAGATGGCACTTGGACAAAACATCATCTACCATTAGCACAGAGCCACGATCCAATCGGTGGCTCTTCGCTTTTCAGCATGTTTGGGCTTGGGGTGACCGTCCTCGAAGTTGCAGCAACGGATGTTTTGGTAGCTTTTGGAGCCCCGGCGACAGTCGCCATCTCGACTGCGTTGACGCCGTTATTGGCCATTGATGCAAATGTGCGTAGTGTGCCCAATATCAGAGCCCGGACAAAATATTGGCTCTTGAGAAGCTGGCGAGCAACGCGTTGATGCTAAGGGGCCAGAAAGCGTCGTCGTGGACAAGACGGGATGAAGGAAGCGAGCCTTCGATTTTCCGAAGGGGCCGCGGCTCTGCATCGAGGCGGAGCTTTGTCTGCATCAATTGGGGGCCAGAATTGCGCCACGTCATCCGTGCATTCACAAAGTTCCGCTTGTGGACGCATGCTCAGGTCTTGTGTCTGTATCGCAGGCACATTGAGGCTGTGAAACGCGGCCGGTGAGTATTGGGAGGCGGGGAAAACCTGAGGCAGCCTGGGTAGTTCGCGTCGCTCGCCGCTGCGCATCTTCAGGAGTCATCGAAGTCTCTTCTTGATACGCATTGCTAAAGTCATGACAATATTCGTGCAGCGACGCTGTGGCTTGTCGCAGTTAATTACGCAGTCGAGGCAGCACCTAGGACTAGACTAGGGTGGAATTGGAGAGGCTGGGGCAGGTCACGTGGGAGATTAGCGCGTCAATCTTGCGCGCTGTTCCCCGAACGCGTTCACTGCGAGTTGCCACGGCGAGAAGTCTACACATTTTGTCACATTATCATCCCCACTCCATCACCGCAGCTTGAGAGCACCGTAGGCATAGACCTACGTATGCATCGATGATTTGCACAGTCACGAGTCGGAGCGCAGGCTTCACCTTATCTTACCCCGCATGCATGCATGTGGCACGACCTGGAGCATGATGTCGACTCTGGCACGTTTGAGGCGACCGCCGTGATCCCACATGTCTCCCACTACTCTCTTGCCGCTTATACTTGGAGAGTCTTTCAGCCTTGCATCACGCAAAAAAATCGTAGTCGTGCCTGACCATCTGGGCACAGTACGACGAGTGCGCAAACATGAGGCTCCTCAACACGTATACCCTGACGCTCACGACGTTCATTGGTGAAACACCTGAGTACGTTATCCTCTCACACCGGTGGGAAGACGAGGAAATTCTCTTCGAGGATGTGATGAAGGTCCCTATCAGCGACACCAGCAACCCAGCCCGAGCCAAACGTGGGTTTCCTAAACTGCAGGGGACCTGCGCACTCGCGCTTAGGGACGGATTCGATTGGATTTGGATAGACAATTGCTGCATCGACAAATCCAGCTCTGCGGAGCTTCAAGAGGCGATCAACTCAATGTTTCGGTGGTATCAAGAGGCTCAGTTTTGTTACGCTTATCTGAGTGACGTTTCCAACGGACAGGCTGGATTGGATGTAGCATTCAAAGAGAGCTTGTGGTTTACCCGCGGTTGGACCTTACAGGAACTACTGGCACCGTGTAGCGTCGAATTCTACGCAGCCGACTGGACGTTCATCGGCTCCAAGGCATCGCGAGCCGAAGAAATCGCAACTATCACTGGGATCGCCCTTGCTGCTCTTCAGAATGTCTGGGCAGTTCAGAAAGACAGATATCTCGCTGCAGAGAAAATGTCATGGGCTGCGCATCGACGGGTCACTAAGTCCGAAGATATGGCTTATTGTCTGCTCGGTCTCTTCGATGCGAACATGCCATTACTTTACGGCGAAGGGGGACGTCGGGCATTTCGCAGATTACAGCAAGTAGTCTTTGAGAGCGAACCTGACTATACGCTGTTCCTCTTCGCTACTCACGATAAAACTGATGCGGAAGGCCCTGGTGTGCCAGAGCATGCACCATTGCTCGCGTACTCAGCCAGGCAGTTCTGTAGGAGAACTCCATGTAAGGAGTGTGCGAAACAGCCAACGTGCCTTCCTGATTACATCGAATATTCTCGGATGGGCAGCGTCGTTGACGCACAGTGGAACGCACTCAACGACCCCTCCCTGAAGTTGGTCAAAAGCGGTGTGCAGTTGAAGGTGCCTCAGACTGGATACAAACCGGGCCTCCAGTATCTTCCATTGACCACCAACCGCTATTCAAGGAAGCCAAGTGGAAAAAAGGACGGATTGGTCGCACTTTTGCCTTTGACCCTGACAGGATACAAATTCCACCTCTTTGGGATCGTTCTCGAGCTGCTTCCGACATCCAATTACGCTCGCCTCAACACAGCCCCTATTATGGTAGATATGAGGAGCCTCAATAGTGATGCCTTTGATCCCAAAGCTCTCATAGTATCCGACGTTTTCCTCTCTCCAGTCGAGCACATTGGTCCCGACCGGGCGCTTGCCTGTTTCGAGTTCCACAGTTCTTCATTCATGGTATCATCTTGGGATAGCAATTACGTTCATGTCCCGAACGAGTGGAAACCTGAAAGCATCTTCACAATGGCCAGCACCGCGTCCCACGGCTTTGGTTTGATGATAAGGACGTCCAGTAGCTCTTCAAGAGTCTCTCCCGTAATTATACTGGGCGATTCCATAAAGAATATTCGACTGCTAGGCGTGGAAGTGCAAGGCGATGATGGCTCAACGTCGCGATTGGAATCAGAAGGGAGCAGCCTTGCAGATCGCATAATCATCCCCCTGGAATCAGCACAGGCTTGTATCAAGGTTACTCTTCGCCGTTTATGCACCACATTAACCGGCCACATCCTTGATCAAGTCGATGTGCGTGTCCGAATAGATGTGGAATACGTTGCAGACGATATTCACGGCATCGAACCTGGAAAGATGAACAAGGAGACGAAAGATACGGACGACTCTTGATCCTCATTTGTACCAGGACCTGGATAGCGCTGGGCAGTACACGGTCACGGTTAAATAGACGAAGCTTATCTTTGCAGTTTGTATTCGCAGATGCTTGACTTGTTGCTAGCTGTAGTCTCCAGACAGGACTGTTGAAGTCGCTGTGAAGAGGATCGGCGTTCATGTCGGCGCCGGGCATGCACATCCGCCTCATACAGAACCGACTCGATCACCATATGCCCTCACCAAATGATCAACTGTCTTATCCTTTCGAGCGGCGACGATGCATGTGTATTTCTGCGACAGAGCGCAGTCTCGTTTCAAGTGTATCATTACCAAAGACGTCGCGATCTCGCAACGTGTGTTGAAGCCCCATGGCTCGCGGCGCAGCATCATTTCCATTTTCGACGATGAGAGCCCGGGAGAAACGCTGCTCGTGGGATGCACCCAAACAATAACAATGACGGCGGACGCGAAGCGCCTACTACTTCTTTTTAAAGCAACGCATTGCTGCTCGACCAGTTCCATCTCACAGCGCGCTGCATTAAAGTTGCGTGGATGTTATGCGACTAACGGGAAGAAGAGTCGTCACTGCCCAGTTGGCGGTTGCGGCTCGGGAAGATCTCGGGAGGAAAGAGTGTGCCGCCAATGACGTAACCTATTCCACGCGATAACATGGACGCCTCGGACCACGTACACATCGCTTACTGAGGTACCGGATGTGCGACACCCTTCAGTGACACCCGTGTCTTCCGATGCGGCTACTATCGTGCGCCGCTATCGCGTCTGTTGATCTAGTGGTCATGTGACATGCTGTGAGTCGCTCCGGAGTGTGCATCGCGCCGTCGTTTCGATGCGCGAACGCGTATTGGGCGTTGTTGTGAAGAAAGGTCGCCCAGTCCTTCTCGTAATAATTCTTGGAAAGGCATCTGTCGGGATTGAGGAATACAGGCATTTCGCGCGTTGGGTGCGGGCGCTTTCGAGTGGCTGCAGGCGCCTTCGAGCCCTCCGCGAATACACGGTCGTGAGCGAACCTCGGTGGCGGCTCTGGAACTATGCTCGCAGCGTGAAAGTCAGCCCACTATATTTCCATGCTGTACAGACTCAGCTGATAGGAACAAAATGAAAAGATGGCTGTTTTACTATACATCTGTCGGGACATATGACTGGCCTGATTAATAGATTGGACGCCCGCATACATGTGTCAATCATGTTTGTTCACCGGTTCCGCTGACACGAGCTGATGGATAGAGCTGAAGGGCGGGTAATACAGATAAGATGCATCAACGCGCCGACATATAAACACAGGCAAATTTACAAAGTCTTGCACCATGGCTGAGCTAGTCATTCCGGTAGCGAATATCTTGAATCGAAGATGGGCAAGAGGCTGCTAACTCGATATCCAGGAAGATACACTAGGAATCCATGTGCTTTATCCGCCCAAGGGTAGTAAGATCAAGCCGACTGTCGAGTGCGTATTCAAAACATGGCCTGAAACATTTAGTCGAGCTAACCTTTGGTAGTATTGTCGCGATCCATGGCCTCGGCGGCGATGCATACAAAACGTGGATCGACCAGTCTTCCGGTTGCTTATGGCTGCGCGATCTTCTACCGAAGTCAGACGTTTTCCAAGACGCACGCGTAATGACGTTCGGGTACAACGCAAAAGCCTTTCTGAAGCCTTTCGAAAGGGCAATAGATGGCAATACCTTCGCGTTCGCCGAAGCCCTACTGAACGACCTTTCTGACAAGCGTCTGCGGGTAAGTACTCTTTAGTTTTACCAACAACACTCGCTGAGCGTTACGCATAGCCTGAAGAAAAACTGCGACCTATCATTTTCGTGGGGCACTCTCTTGGCGGCATCGTAATCAAAGAGGTTCGTGCCATACATGTCGCGATGCGCTACCGTAGCTGACGTATGCAATCGAAGGCACTTAATCACGCCAACGCGCTGGACCATCAATATGGTGACATCTTGCAGTCTACGCGCTCTCTTATGTTCTTTGGGACTCCTCATCAAGGTGCAGACGCTGCGGTATGGGGAAGTTACCTCGGAACGATTGGGAAGAGTCTAGGCATCAAGAACACCAAGGCGTCAGAGGATCTGGGGCGGTGGAGGAAGCCGCTCTTGGAACTAACAAGACTGTTCGCGGGGCGCGCAAAGAGATGGCCCATCACAACCTTCTACGAGAACGACAAGTTTTATGGGGTGGTGGTACGTGAATCGCTCTTTACCCGTCTTCATGTTGTCTTAACTAAGAAAACTTCAGGTTGTCCCGGAAGGCTCAGCGCTTTTGGGCATCGAAAACGAGCGCGTAGTCGAGCTCGATGCCAATCATCACTCTATCTGCAAGTTCGCGCCTGGTACGCGTAATTACGATCGGGTACTTGCGCGTTTCGAAGCGGTCCGGTTCGGGATGATGGAAGGAAACACTGTCCTTTGCGCCGGTACCGAGGCAGAAGCATCACTCTCAGCGCAGGATAGGGAGTCAGAGGACGATCTCAAGCAGTTTGAAGACCTGCGGGCTAGGCTTAAGACAATAGCAGGGGATAAGGAGCTTCATGCGGACCTGGCTTAGGTCAAGCTTCAAAGTATCATAAGTATCACAATGTCAAATCAAAGTGGCTCACCCATTTCCCAAAGGCTCAAGTGATAACTCCTCGCATTCATCGGGTTTCATTGCGCTCATATCTCATAACATATTTCGACAGACCAGACATAAGACGCCGAAATCGCGCAAACTGCCGCGAGACGCAAAGAAGCCGACTACGTTTACATACAACGAATGGGGGTTGAAGCTGGAAAGCTTAACGCGTAGCGTACCGCCTTATCTTTAACGCCGAAAGCGGGCTAGATTCTGCTGTGATCAGGTCGGCAGCTAAAGAGTCTACGGGCTGTGGGATGATCGTCTGCTCAATGTGCTGAGCTAAGTCATTGACCTTCTTCTCGATCCTCGCTAGAGTCTGGCGACTTAGAACGTCGCGTTCTTCCGATGTAAGTGAAATAGTGCTATGAGCTATCAGCCTAGATCGGTTCAAGCAGACTTGGGAACGGACCGTAGCATTACGTTTGCGTAGTGAGAGTTGAGAAGTGAGTTGCGGAATTGCAGCGCATTCCGCAGCTCTTCTACCTTGTACCTAATTTCAGTCTCATCGCTATCGTTTTGTCGATGCGCGAAGTACCCCTCAAGATACTGATTCATGCTGGAAATGATGTCGCGACATTGCCTTGCCAGGTCTATAAGCATTTCCACATCCTCGAGGTCAAGCCTCGTGCTGGAGAATGTCTTGACAAGTTGCCGCAGAACTTCGTAGGTGTTGAGGACTTCTTCTGCCATGGTCTTGAAGCTGACAGAGCACCTTTGCATGACAGTACGGGCCTGATCAGGATATCCCGTGAAGATCACACTGCTGATACGATCTCTTAGTCTCGAATAGCTCCGGTCGTGAGGCCCGGCAAATTGACCCATCGTTGCATGGGTCCTGTTGTCCAGCATGACCGACCGCTCCCTCTTGAATCCCAGCACGGATGAATCTTGTTGAACCGACTGCATAAGTAGTAAGTAATACATTCACAGGGACCTAGCGAATGGTGCTGGAAAGTCGGTTCACAAGGAGGAGTTGCGCTTACAATTGTCGCTTCACTAACCCTCGTGATAGAACCAAGCGTTAGATCCGCGAAGAAGGAAGTGAACCATATGTGCTCAGCCAACCCGCCGAACTCCGTGTTCAATTGTCGTAGCACACTCGCCCAAACATCTGAAGACTCTACCATACTACCGTTTGAGATAGTCCGGAGAGTCTGGTGATTGAATCCGTGATGGGGCGTGTCAAGGAACACGACGTGCTTCAGACTTGACGGAATAGACCCGAATTGCGCAGCCTGGGAATTTGCAACAACAAGCGCCTAGATTCAAGGTAAGCCGGGAGCAAAGGATCAGAATAACGCAGATTGCACCTTCTTTACGATGATGCCTCCAATACCATGGCACAAGAAGATCAGTGGTCGCGTTCTCTGAGCACGTGTTAGTTGGAACAAAGTGGGCAGCAACAGCAAAAGTATCCACCATAGAACATACACAGCCTCGCACTCTCTTGTCGTCCAGATCGTTGAGAAGGCCACTTGCGATATCAAAGATGCGCGATGCTGCCTGCTGATTGTTTTTGTCGTTCCCTGCCGAACGTATCTTGTCCAGAGGATGCCCGTACGTCAAAACCCGTATCTTGGGAAAGTCTTGAGGAAGAAGATCAGATAATAAGCTAGTCCCTGTTTCAGGATGCCTCCATGTGGAATATGATCCCGCGGTTGATCCATGAACAGCGACTAAGCTAAATCACATCAATACATGTCCTCAAATCCGTTCAAACAACGGAATGCTTACTCAAAGTCGAACTCAGACGCTGATTGATCGATATGTGGGTAAACTATCGTTAGGCCGAGCGGATCAACTTCGTTCGACTGCTGGCGTGTAGCTGGCGATATCGTAGTGATATGATCGCTGGGCACATGGTAACCGGCCAGAACCCGGCCGCAGGTGGAAAGAAGGAGATCGACCGTCCCGGAACGGGTATAACCGTGGGTAAGAGCCTGGATTTCCCCCGACTTCTGATACTCCTCACGTCCAATGTTTTCCAACCCAGGCGCATTGAATCGAAAGTACCTGTGATGCGCAAGGAGGTCCGCATGCTCTCTTGCAAAGCTCTCCGCAGTTTGTTCCGTCTCCATAGCTATAGCGGCGATTACACGTATCGAGTCCAGCATTCCTCCCTTTGCTGAATGAAGTCTTGGCATACCAGCACCTATTGACACTATGCAATTTCGGTGCTTGCTGTTCGGCCAGATTGTGTTCACTTGTGTCCAGATACTGTTAAGAGGATTGTTGCCACCAAGCGATCCGTCCGTGAATTCGTCTTGAAAGGGACCAAGCTTAACGGGGGCGAATGTGAATGTGCGTGCTAGCGTAGCTACTGCGACTTCCCAGAGCTTCAGTTCCAGAAATGCATCGTTTATACCTTCGTATTCGAAATTCGAAAAGGTAACTGAAAACCCCGTGTTGGCTCTTACAGCGGTAACGATGCTAGCGACAGAGTCAGAACTTTCGCACGAGCTTGATTCTTTACAGTAATCATACACTTTGCAGCCTTTCCGTGCATCTTTGAACGAGGTATCAGGATCCAGCCCTCTTCGTCTGAACATATCCCTTAATAGGATTGCGAGTCCCATCGGCGAATCACCACCTTTGGAGCCGAGCAGCGAATCGCGGACGAATCGAGGACCGGCCAAAAGAGTCGACCTTTTGGGAAACATCGCTTGACGCATGCCAGGTCCGTGGAGCAACTCGATACAGTCGCTGATATCCAGATCGAGGCACCCCATTAATATCGCGACAAGACTTGAAATGCATTCAGTAACAATTCGCTCGGACAGCTCGATATCCGACTTACCCGCCAGTACCACTTCCTCCGATGAGTTGAAAGCATTGGGAAGGCTTTGGGGGTCTTTCGGGGTTGACTCGTTCCATCAAAGCTTCCAGTATCGTTAGTTGCGACAGCACCCGACAACCCCCTCCATCTAAGGAGAGGCAAGCAATCCTGGGCTCGGACATGTATTCGACAGCGCTGTCAGATTGTATGTTGCGTTATAGAGGGTTTGCTTGTGAAAGCTGTCTTCGTCGAGCTCAGCCTTGTTGCGTCTTCGGACCCCGCTCTTCAGCTTTCAGCCCGATCCTCCACACTTTGTTCGCTGACGAATCACAACTCCGAGCCTGCTTGTTCTATTCCTGAGTGCATAGAAATGTACGCCATCAATAGATATGGAACGGCGCGCAATAACGCCGCTTTTCAGTCAGCCTCTACCTTCAGTGGGGTGATATATCCCGGATATGGGCACTTGTAGCGCACGCTGTCACAGTATGCAGAGAGAATAGGCTCTGTCGCGGAACTTTGGTACATACTATATGCTATGCACCACATATTCAGAAGAACGCGAAGGAACAATCATTCATACCATATCACCACCCAGACCGTCAAGTCCGCCGTACCCCAGCCCCCACACATGCGCACCATAGTACCGGCCGTAATTCGCCATCCACACATGACGATAGTTTCTCATGGCCTCGCTCAAACGTTGGAGCAGCGCATCAGCCTTCTCCTGTTCTTCTGCCGATGCCCGCGGGAAGAACTTGGCTCGCAGTATGTGGAACCAGAAGGTCGTCTCGACGGTGGCCATCAAACCGAGACCGGCGTAGACGGTGTAGCGGACTGCTGGCTTGGCATCGCGGACCAGCTTGAAGAGGTTGAAGGAGGGAAGCGATGGGTTCTCGGCTTGGTGATTTGGTCTTGCGGTTGACGGGATGTGGTCTTTGGGGGAAGTTGCGGAGATGTGAAGGCGGCGGGTGTTGAGGAGTGTAACTGGCGGCGTATCATGCAGATGAGAAGAGTACTGTATCGAAGAAGCGATGCGCATCGTCGTAGTCTTTGGAATCATTCGTTGAGCCATTGGATCCTGGGGTACAAGCTGGAGCAGCTCACGTGACGCGGGGTTGACAAGATGGAAGAGTTGACTCGATATGAAGATTTGCGACCTACCTGGACTCACCAGTATGCAAACTATATACTCACACCTGGGTGCGTCAAAGTCAGCGCGAAGTCATCGCGAGGCAGCCGCCAAGACAGTCGTGTTTGTTTTGGGCTTAAGATTGCGAGATATTGGCGTTCGCATGTGCAATCTTAGAATTTGCGCAGGGGTATCGAAAACGGTGCGTCCGAGCGCCGTTGACGTCGACGGCCTGGTGAGGGAAATTCGTTCACGATGCCTGGGGGAAGAAGTGAAGGATGCGCGCAAAGTATAATATCACATGCGCGTGCGGATCCGGGTGAGGTGTATGTGTGGGAGAAACAGGGAATGGGGTGGTGGAAAAGGCGGTGGCAGGCTTGCGGGCGGGGAGTGTGAGCTGGCAGGGACAGGTGGTTGAGTGGAGCGTGGTCCGCCTGCCGGCATAGTCAGGAACAACAAATCAGCCCTCGACGCGCCCGGCTAGTGACCACCACGACGCTTCACTCCCTCGACGCTTGCTTTTCCTGCCACCGCTCTCTCCCTCCTATGTAGCTCCTACCCGCTCATAATTAATTCGAGCATGAGCGACACCATCGACCACTCTGCGACGCATTTTTAACTCACCACGCTGCTCCCGCCGGCTGTTCACGACTTGTTTACGCGAACGGAGGGGTCGTACACATGGACTCGGCCGGCCTTGGTGCCATGCCAGGGCCTCGCTGCTGTTGTGGGAGCCATGACTGCGCTTTCCTCGCCCACAACGGAAGACTCTTAGAAGGATTAGAGAGGGACGTCTCCAAGGCTGCACAGCTGGGCCAGGTACGTCGCTCACTCCCGCATGTCGGCTCTCACTACCGCGCATGCCGCTAACCTTTGCCCTGCAGGCCCTACTCGTCCGCCATGAGGCGTACGTCGCCGACTCGGAGCGCGAGCGCAAGGAGATGATCAACACCATCGAAGGGCTCGAAAAGGACAAGATCGAGCTCGAAGCCAAGAATGCGCAGACCATCAAGGCGAACCGCGACCTCCTCGACCAGCTCGAGCAGCTCAACAACGCCGTCGCCGAGTCGGACGCCCACATCCGCGCGCTGGAAGACACGCTGCGCTCCACCGAAGACGAGATCGACCGCCTCAGCTCCCTGGCCGCACGCACGCAGCTGCTCGAGCGCCAGCTGATTGACCTCGAAAGAGAGCAGTCGCAGATCCAGAGCAGCCTGGACGCCAAGATCGTCGACGAGCGCACGGCCATACAGCGGTGGAAGGTGGCCGAGCGGACTATAGGAGATCTCCAAGACCAGATCGACCGCATCGAGAAGGAGTCCCGCGCCGAGCGACAGCGCCACATGGAGGTCGTGGCTCGCATGGAGCGGAGGATGGTCGTCGAGGGCGAGCTTCACACCGCTGCGGGCAGGCTCAAGGCCAAAGCTGGGACTGACAAGGGCGGGCCCAACGTCGTCTCCCACTTTGTTAAGGACATTCTACTCGATAACGCGAACCTGCAACACGGCATACTGGAACTGCGCGAGCTATTAGGCAACTCCAACGAGGAGGTCGAACGCCTGCGAGACCAACTCAAGGTTCACCAGCCTGTCTCGACATCACCCCGGCCCGATGAGGACGTCACGAGTCCGTCGCTGCAGAGAGAACTGGAAATGGAACAAGAAGCGTCGCTACAGCAAGAACTGCACATACACCACCATTACCACGGCCCGAAGGTTACCAGAAACGTGCCCAAGCCACCGGCGCAGCGACGGCCCAAGAAGAAGCGCTTCTCACTCACCCCGACGCACTTCGACCCGCCTGCAACCCTCGATCGCTCGTCTACGGCTACAATACTGGAACACACCGCGGTCACTGTGCCTAACTCGCACAGATGGTCTCAGGCCTCGACTCTCACGCCGGGCTCTTTCGCAGGGTCACCCGTCTCGGACTCACACCGTGGGTCCATGTACGACCGTGTCTTCAGCGAGGCCTATGACTCTTCCCGGCCCACCAGCCCTCCCGATTCCATCGACTTCCAGTCTCCCATGTTCGGGCCCGTCAAATCGAACGACTACAGCTCCGATCCGGACGCGTTGCCGCCGATGCTGCGAAGGTCCTCTGGCACTCTTGAGGTTGCGAAGGGCGGAAACAAGCATCTGCGACGCAAGTCTCGCGGCCTCATGCCACCGAGCCTGTCCACAATGCGCAGCTCAAGTACGCCTATCGCCCTCACTGCTAAGAGCAGTCCTGCGACGGCCGTCATATCGGCTGTCAGTCCCGCCAACTCCTTCTCGGATGCCAGCTTTACGCTCTCGCCTTACCTCCAGCCGGAGCCCCAGGCTGCTATCCCGGAGGAAAGCGAAGACTCCTCGCTATCGACAGCCGAGCCATCGCTGATGACGTCCAACGGCGAATTCGAGCCCAACGACCTCGTCTCGCCCATGACCGCCATGCGACCCGGCTTACGCCACCACGCCTCCCACGAATCCCTCATCTCTGTCTCCGGCATGGACATCCACACACTGCAGTCACGACCCTCGCAACTCCTATACTCTAATGCAGCGCGATTCGCAACGCCCGGCAGTTCTGGCTCCGTCGGCCCCGAACTCACACCGTGGACCGCCACCGCACACGGCACGCTTTCGAACAAGACGTCGCAGAGCAGCATGGCCAACCGCGACTTCCTCTACTCCAGCATCGCGAACCAGAAGCGTGGACCGCGGAAGAGCGACGGCCCCCAGCCCTCCAGCGGCCCCGGTCTTACAAAGAAGGTCGGAGGCTGGGTCTTTGGCAAATGGGGCTCATCGCCTGCTCCCGTCACTTCGCCGACGGCTACCCGCGCGCCTTCGATCCTTAGCCAGGAAACGCAGTCCACGCAGGACACGCAGTCGAGCGAAGGCACCACGACCACAAATGCGGACGGCTCCAAGAAGAAGGACAAGCCCAAGCTGCGGCCGAGCGGCGTGAACCAGAACGGACCCATATGGGGCTTCTTTGATGAAGTTCCCGACGCGCCGGCGAAGGTCGTGGTCCAGGATTACGATGCGGATGCGCTTGGTGAGGCCTTGGCTGAGGCTTCGTAGACCCGGACAGCGCGTGTGTATAAGAAGGCTCTTTACATATGGAAACATTTCTTACCATCTATCTCCTTTGGCTTTACGATAGACTGCATCACTGGCGTTTGGGTTTCTTTTCTTCCTCCTTGGACCTTTTTGGATGTCGATACGTTTGACGAAGCGCATGAAGCGAGGAAGGACTTTTCTTCTTGTTTGGATACTGGATAGATGAGATACGAGCTGAAGATTGATACCCAATTTATGCGCCATGGCGACGTGGTAGGCTTGCTACTGGAGTTGAGTTCCTTCGATTTGTGTTCTTGACTGATGGCTAGATGGGTTGGGCTGCCTACATCCTTTATTGATATTCCTGCATGCACGCCGACCGCTGTCGAGCCGTCCACCACGCATGATTAGGATTACTGCTGCTCTAGATGTTCGTACCATGTTAAAGCGACTACTCATGGAAACTTCCACTGGGACGCCTTCTTTCTCGATCTCTTCGTCGAAGGCTTGCACAAAGTTCTGGTACGACAGCTCATTGTCGTCGTTGGCTTCTGTCTGGTGATGTACCCCTTCGCTATCTTTCAGCATGATTAACTGTGCCGCATGCGCAGTTTCAAGCGACTACCTCAACGTTCAATGCGCCTACTGGCCCGCGCTCCATAGCTGGAGGATTTGATCGGTTAGCAGCTCTTGGCTCGGCAGTTGATTGAGATCGCGGACAACTGAGTGAACACCGAAGCATCGTTAACCGCTCCTAGGAAGACGCATGCGCTCAACGCACACCCTAACTCGACTTTTCTTTTATATCTTATTCCAGATCTTCAGATCTCGCCCAGTCGAGCCTACTGCTATTTCTACTATCGAGCCTGCGGTCACATCACAGCAATAGCAATACAGACACAGGCTACGCTCGCGCTTGCGTATGCAATCGATAGTCCAGTCAGACTGCGATGCTTACGTGGTATCTTAGCATTCACAACATGGAGGGAAGTTTCTCATTGGGATCGCTGACGCTCGAAGTGTCATTGACCGCATCCAGGAACATGTGACCTCTTAATACGTAGCTTCCCTCGACGTTCACCGTGGGTCTTGCTTAAGGTTATCATATCCTCGGCCGGTAAAAGGCCTAGGCCATACCTCGCTGAGCGAATGATGCACAGTTACGAGATTTCATGCTCCTGGATTCGTTATCGCTCGCGACATCGGTTATAGTATTGTTCCCTTCTTATTCGACTCCCATTGTGCTCCTCGCCGACCATTGTGTTCCTTCCTCGCCAGTAAGCAAGGGCGACCTTCTTCGGTCGTTAAGCAAGGGTGACACTACGTCATCGCGACTTCCGCGCTTACGCGCATCCTTCACATCCTTCGCCCTAACACTACTCAGGTACACGGCTATTGCTACCACTCGCATCATCCAATCGCGCTCTGCTCTTCAATGCAGTCGTTCTCAAAGCTGACATTGGTACCTACCCGCCCGCGCCGCTCAGTGAGTTTCGCACGGCTGTTCTTACTTCACATGGAGGCGTGGTCATTCCCAAAGCTGAGGTCGGTATTTACCCGCCCGCGCCGCTGGCTGCTCCCGCGGAATCTTGCTTCCGCAAGATCAGTTTCAGGGGATCGTACTCACCGCATCGCATCGGGGAGGACATTGAGATGATGCGGCAGCCAATGAGTTTCAGGGGAGGTGAAGGGGAGCTGGTGGGTGTCTCGCACACTATTCTCCCAATTCGCGTAAGACAATCGCGCTCTGCTTCCACAAAAAGGAAGGTACTTATTGTATCGCGGCGATCAGTGAATCTCACACCAGCTGTTCCTACTTCGCATGGATGCACGGTTTGTCACAACGGACAAGGAACTCAATCATAGGATGCGATCCTTCGCTCAGCCAAACTATCTTACACAAACTCTCGGCTCCTCAAAGCGAGCACATGTTTGACCGCCTCGGGAGGTGGAGGGGAGGTAATGGAGGCTTTACACACTAGACTGTCTTGGGGATCGTCGAGACCTAGCTTCGAGGATGGTTATTCCTGAAGGATGAATGGATTCAATGCTGGAGCAGATCGAGGATGGTTATATACGTGAGCTGAACAGAACTAGAGCTGCTAACTCTGTAGTCTAAGCACGCTTCGTGGACCAGACCTTTAAGAGAAACGATGAGCCTTCTTATTGCTAACCTGGGAACGTTAAGCGACGACATGTGTACAATCTGTTTCTACGAAACTGGGGTTAGCATGCGATGCTTTCCGACAAACATATACGGATACTTCTCTGCGCAGGTCGACAGCGTTAGTGGAAAGAAGGCTCTAGGGCATCCCCGGTACAGGAGAGCAGTAAGAAGAGGGCATGAAACGGCTAGGATATTTGAACACCTCATCGGCTCGGGGGGCAACAAAAAGACTAAGATCACCGTCTCGCCTAACGGTATCGTTGGAGGTTACCCGTTAGGGCATCACGAATGGGCCACGAAGAGAATCGCCTTCTTCGTCGAGATCAGATTTGACTTCCTAACCTCTCTAACACCGGCGAGCGTCGTGTCCTCTACGCAATAGCTATATATTACTAAAATATTATCGAAGGGTGTGCTCTAAGGTCTTTTAACTTCTAGCTTGCGCAGTGTTACTATTCTATTAGAAATCTATTTGTTCTTGTCTAAAGTTATAACTATAACTACGGCTGCTAAAGACGTGCTAATTATTAACCTCTAAAATAGGTAGTGTAATAGAGCTACATTATATAAGCTAGAGTATATTGCTTAAAGTGCTCTAGCTATCGCAGACCTTGCTATTGCCTTCTAACCTGTAGTAGAGTAGACTACTTATAGTAATAGCGACATAATATACTAGCCGCTCTAGATTTACTTAGACATTCTAAGTTTCTATTACTACTAGACAATTAATAATCTATTATAGTCTAGTTGTTATAAATTCGCTAAGGCTCTGCGTTAGCTCTGTGCTATAGAACACTACTATTAGTAGATCTTACATGTCTTCTATAGTTATCTACACGTTAAGCTACTATAACAAGACCTGTCTATTAAATTATACACTATTAGCGTTACTTTAGAGAGTAAGTAAATCTTCTTAACTATCTATAAGTTGCTTATAATATATACGCTTCTATTAGTGTAATAAGCTATTAATAATCTTAGTGCCTATAAACTAACCTAGACAAGGTTTATATAATTTGTACTTAACACGAAAACACTAAAGAATTTTAGATCTCTAGGCTAGATATTCTATATATACTAGATAATACAGCACGCCTTAGTAGAAGAGTTAATATAACTAGAGGTATTAATTAGTGTTAAGAACAGCGTAGAACGCAGCGTGTACTTCTAAGCTTAAAAGCTTCTTAAGAGAATATAAGAATCTATATACTTAGCCTCGCCTATACTACTAGAAACGTACCTCTATCTACGTGTCTTTGTTAATAACAACGCTTATAGATTAGAGTTATATACTTATAATCTATTTCTAGTGTTAGTCTATAAGAGGTACAACCTAGAGAGTAAGAAACTACTTCTTAGCAGTTTAAGAACGTGCCTTAAGCTAGAGTAAAGAACAAAACTTACTAGGTTTAGGTTAAGTTTACTACGCAACATAGAGAAAATTAAAGCAAAGTTTTATTTATCTATAACCTCTTTTCTCTAGAAACCTTTAGATATACCTTATAAAACTACTATTAATTAAAGTAGAAAAGAATACAGAATTAAAATATTACTACGCGTAGTCTCTATCTTTAATTCTTTGTTATGTATTATAACTGTAAGTCTTTACGCACGCGTTTCTTACTAAAGTTTTTGTCTATAGCTCTCTAACTAACTATAATTATTATCTATAGCGCTAAAACTAACTATTATTTCTATCTATAGCGCAAAAGAAGCTTAGCGTAAATAAATTATTCTAAAGAATTTAGGCTAGCCCGCAATTCTCTACTAGCTACCTCTTTTCTACACTTCTCTTCTTTATCTATCTATCGCGTATAATAGTCTTAACGCATTTGCTATATTACTATATTTCTACTTATTATATACTACACCTACTATAAACTCTATATAGACTATCTCTTACAACTATAATATACTATCTATTACAGCCTACCTGCGTAACTTATTATATATAACTTATTACGCGTAACAGCCTATTACTACTATTCTATAGCTATATTACGTCTTATAATATAATATACTTTAAAGCGCAGGTATTATATAAATATTATTAAGTGTATATACAACCTACTAATAGAGCACGCTACTCTTAATACTCTATATTATTTATATACGCTCTACTACCTGTACATAATAGAAAAGCAATATTATAGAAGTAATATAATTAGAACCTAGCTATAAATCTCTTTATATAGCTACCTAAACTAAAGATATAATAGTATTATAAACTAACGTATTTATACGTTACAGTTATAACTATAGCTATAACTATAGCAACTAACCTATAATAGTAACTTAATCTTCTAAGTATAAGTTACTAGTAATTTTCTATAGTAACTAACTAGATACTCTACTATTATAACCTCGCTATACACCTAATAAACCTACCTTTATACGCGCTTAACTTAATTTTAACAATACTTAGCTATATACTATTATAATTGCGCTTATTAATACTATCGCTAGATTAAGATTTAGAGGTACGCTATAGTAGTAATACTATTATTATTTTTGTATTAGATATAATATTATTACTCTCTAATATTAACACTATTACTATAATAACTAGAAATTTACGCTAAGACCTATAACAGCGCTATTATTTGCGTTTGCTTTTATAACAAATACTAGACCTAGTTAAACTATAAATTATACGCCTAAACTACCTCTTATTAATAAGCACTATTCTTATAACTATAACACACTATAAACTCTGCAAAAGTTACTACTAATCTTATAGTTATTTATACGTCTATTAAGATATAAGCTAGATATATACTTATTACTTCTAGTATATAAGAGTTATAACAAGAGCTCTAATAAAGAATTTTGCTACCTTATTAATATTCTTTTT